GTCTTCCATAGGGTTTTCTAAAATAGCATTTAACATATAAATAGCGGCTTTATATGCCCGTTCACATCCTGGTAAGTCTTCATGAACTAACTCATTTATAGCAGCTTGTCGACTCTAAAGTTGAAAAATCATTAAATCGAAGCGAGCAATAAACTTCACTGTAACATTTTAAATTACCATTTCTAAAGCTTTATCGTATAGCAATTTCTCCACAAAACATCCATTAACATTCATCTCTTCTTCTGATAAATATCTAGACTTGGTGCACTCTGCCTTTTCTAGACATTCATTAAACCGATTACGTACCCATTGGACGGCTATTTAGCAAATTTTAACAAATATTAATGTTTATCATGAACATTGCAAAATGATTTGATAAAATGTAAAAAATAAGTTGTAAAAAGTAGTAAATAAGTGGTAAATGAATACCGTGATTAAATCTAGGAGAAGCCCCTTTCCCATCAGGATTATTTGGTTGTTTTTCATTAATACGTGTCCAATATTCTCCAGCGCTATCCATGGCGCTCTGCAATAACGAAAGTGACTTTAAATATAAAACGCATGCTTCATGTGCCATTCTAGCAGCAGATTCAGCTGAGACTGTATGACCATTCATGAGCTCACTGCTGGCGGTAGGCAGTGGTGGTAAAAGTTGGTCAAGTTTAGTATTTGCATATTGATAAACCACATGTGCTTTACGAGCATAATCTTCAATTTTCTTGACAACAGCTTCCTGTTTATGAATCAATCTGTTAATATACAAAAATAAATGGTTTATAAAAAATATGTATCTTAATGTATTGATATACAACCTCTTCGGGGTCAATTGTCACATCATTTTGAAAGGTAATCATGTTTCCTTTTTGCTTTGAATATTTATCAGTCCATGAAGGTGGGGAATTGCCCGTTCCAAATAAGCGGGTTGAGGCAACGGATAAAGCTTTAGCAAGAGCTGATGATCCGTTTCCAAAGCTGCCCGAACCAACTTTTTCATAGCTAGCAAATGGTAAAGCGAAAGGTGGGGTGGTAGAATAAAAGAATGAACCTGAATTGTTGTTCATATTTGGTGTTCGATATGGAAGTTCCAGCGGACCTGGACCAGTATATACAATCGCCGTATTTTTATTGGGATGCCGTTGTATTAATCCAGCAGATTTA